AGCAGCCTCAGTCTCGCTCCGCAGGTCCTATCTAAATTGCAGCCTCTCCTGGGACCGGCGCCCACGGCTCCTGGAGGCCGGGTTCCCGGTCTTAGCCCCAGCTGTGGCCCTGTTGGGCCGGGCCGGCTGGTCCAGGCCTACCTGGAGGAAGTTGGGCAGCTCCTTCCTCGCCAGCTGTTTGAATTCCTGCTGCGACAGGGTGTCGGGGTCATCCCTCCGCACCGAGTACTGGTGGAAGGTGTTGATGATGACATCTATGCTCCTCTCCAGCTCTGACATTTCCGCCTTATCTATCCTCTTGCACCTTGAGCAGGAGAGAAGCAAGGACTGGTCCTTAGAGGAAAAGATGGGCTCCCTGGGCACCCCCTAGTGGCTGCCTGCGCGATAGACCGGGAACCCTGGATAAAAAGACGGCGCTGCTGCAGCTGAAGTGGGGGCCCGCCCTGTCCTACAAGTGAGAAGTGGTTTTTAGACTGTCTGGAAAATGATACGAAATAGAATTTGAGGCCTGTTGGTTGCAGAAAAGAGGACTAGAGATATGAAGGAATCTCTAAAGTGGGCCTGTCAGTCAAGGAGGGCTCCAGGGAGAGGCTTTGAAAGGAAGTTGAGTGGGGGGAAAAGGAGGCAGCAGGCAGGATCCTGACAGAAGCTGGTAGCTACTTACCCAGCCGAGAGCCACACAGAGGACTTCGACAGCCTGCCGTGGGCCCAGGCTTTATAGGCTGCCCCTGGCTGGGACACTCAGCCCTCTCTCAGGAAAGTTGCCCCATCGATGAACCGTGTGGTAACCCCAAAAGGGGCTGTCACGGCCAGGAAGGGGGCAGGGCTGGGCAGGAAGTGTTCACACAGTTCCTCTAGTCTTTTTGTGAAATTCCCAGTGTTGGGGACTGAAGCTGGTTTGGGAGGAAGTTGGTAGGTAAGTTTACTTCCCCTCCACCCACTTCCCTTCCTCCTGAACCAGCCAGCCCATCCCCCGGGGGCACACCCACCCACAGGGCTCAGCCTCTCCTCTGGCACCCCCTTCACCTGTGACATCAGTGCGCGGTGGGCTGAGGACTCACAGGGAGCCCTGCTCACTCTGCTCTGGTGCCCCGGAGGCCTGGGCCTGTGCTTGTGTGGGCGTTGGTGTGGGGGTGATGGATTCTTATGGTGTGAGTGGGGCTTAGAAGGACCCCAGAGCTGACCAGCCCTCCTGTGTCAGTGCCCTGGGGGTGCAGATGAAGAGATGGATGCCCAGAAGGGAACCAAGCTAGGCTGCAGAGCTGGTTGGTGACAAAGCAGGAACTGAGTCCCAACACCCTGGCTTCTGCTCAGAGGCTTTGCCACACCCACCTCTTATAGCCTGACTGAGCTTCCAGTAAGGTTCCCTGTTTCTCTTCTAAATCCTGCTCCCC